CTGAAATGATTTTAAATTAATATTTGTACTTTACAAGTCTGAAAAATTCATACATTGCAGTTTTGAAAAGCTTTTCTTTGTATAAACAAAACTGGTATTTCTCATGGCCCAAAGCCCTCACCTGAGGACTGTGGATTAAAACAAGAACAAGACTCCCATGAGCCTTATAGGTCACCTGAATATCATGTAACAACTTTCCAACAATTGAATTTGATTTGTGTTTTTTAAAACCATAAGCCATGAAATTCATGATTTTGAGAGAGGCACCATTGTTTATCATAACTATACACTTAACATATTTACTTTGGTTACTTAATACACAGAGGGAGGTCAGAGTAACAGAGAGAAAATGTTTTTCCACTTTACAACCATAAGTTGTGCACCCCACTCCACAGGAACCCACGACCCTGATGTCACATATTTCAAAATTTTGGAAATTTTATCATAAATTTTATATCATCATAAGTGGTTGATTAATACCAACAAGAGGCCCATCGGCCTTATAGGTCACCTGCGCATCATGCAACAACTATCCAATGATTGAATTTGGTTCATGTTATAAGCTAGATGCTATGGCATTTACAATTTTGAAAGGGGCACCATTGCTCATCATAACTATACACTTAGCAATTGCAATTGCTTAGTTTGGTTACTTAATACCCAGAGGCAGGGTAGGGGAACAAACAAGAGGCCCAAAGGCCTTGAATTGCTCTTCTGATAAATTGTACAATCTATCACTTCTATTTGAATTCTCTAAGTATCCCAAGATGCATGAACTGATTGATACAAACTTGAATCCCCTTCACCTAAGGATACTTTATACCAAGTTTGGTTGAAATTGGCCTAGTGGTTCTTGAGAAGAAGTCGAAAATGTGAAAAGTTAAGTAAATGACAACAACGGACAAATTTTGATTAGAAAAGCTCACTTGAGCCCTCGGCTCAGGTGAGCTAAAAAGTTAACGCACACTGCACAACGTACACCATACAAATGGCCATAGCATTAGCTCTTTGAGCCTTTCAGCAATAATCAGAAGAGCCCCTACCACACATAATCACCTGACCCTTGGTCCACACATTGCACAATTTTTTAAAAGGCACCCTCGCTTATCAAAAATGTATTTCAAATGATTAATTTATTTTCAGTATATACGTAGAGCCCCCCTCTATGCTACCCATGCCCCAGGGTCCTTGTAATTCACAATTCTGGAAAAGGAACCCTTGCTCATCATTGTTATATGCAGTTCATCTGTTTAATACCCATGAGCAAAGAAGAACATTTTCAAAGATTTACTGTATTTTCTATAAAATCAATAGAGCCCCGCCCTAACACCAGAACCCCTGACCCTGGGGCCATGAAATTCAAAATTTTGGTAGAGGCACTCTTGCTCATCATAATTATGTACTTAGTTAGTTTATATAATACCCAGGAGCAGAGAAGATTTTCAAACAATAATGCATTTTCACTATATAATAAATAAATCCCTACCCTAACACCAGAACCCCTGACCTTGGGGCCATAAAATTCTCAATTTTGGAAGAGGCACTCTTGCTCATCATAACTATGTACTTAGTTAGTTTAATATTCAGGAGCAGAGAAGATTTTCAAAGAAACAATTAGGGATGTCAAAATATTTATTTTCCTTCCGATTGCATTATTCGAATGATAGTCGACTATTCGGTGCATTTTTTTGAAGAAAAAAAATCTCATTGATAGTGTTTTCATAAATCAAAAACCCTTTTTGTAAATATATGTAAAAAGTAACATCAAATGCCTATACTGTATGTTACACATCGATATTCATTAAGATGTAGAAAAGAAATAGATTTACACCAGCAATTGATTTTCCAAAATGTATGAATTTTCGTAAATCACATTCAAAATTTGCTCTGTACATTCTATCGTTCTAGTATGCTAAGAGAATTGTCATCAGTGTTTTTAAAGCTTATTTCAAATAAATTGGAAAGGGGGAGGGGATGATTGGTTTAATATTTATCGAAGTTTCAAAACTTCATGGCTATGCTGTGTTCTTATTGCATAATTTAAACATTCTTAGAGGTAATAAATAAATTCATAATTGGTACACGCCCAATTAATAATTTTCAAAGTCTAGTAAAGCGCTGCATAATTTAATACAATAACAAATAAGGTCAGTAATTAAGAAATAATTATCACAGTTACCATATGTAATTACTGTCCTTTCCATGTAAACAATGTGGAAACTTATCTAAACCAGAAGTCTCTGTCGAGACTGTAACTCTACTGGTTTATACTTAAAACAAAGGAAGAGAAAAGTATCAGTTGGGACTTGAAACTTTAAAACAGCAATAAATAGAAAAATGATCCTTGCTGCTCATCAAAATAAAAACCGATGTACAGAATTATGTATCTTAGTATAGTCTACTTGTGTGCCAAGTTATACTGAAATCGGACCAAAACTGTAGGAGGAGTAGCATTTTGAAAGAATTATACAGAAATTTCTATTTTTAGTAACCATGGCAACACCATTCACTGAAATCAAAAACCGATGCACAGAATTATGTATCTTAGTGTAGTCTACTTGTGTGCCAAGTTATATTGAAATCGGACCAAAACTGTAGGAGGAGTAGCATTTTGAAAGCATTTCACAGAAATTTCTATTTTTAGTAACCATGGCAACACCGTTTATCAAAATCAAAAACTGATATAGAGAATTATGTATCTTAGAGTAGTCTACTTGTGTGCCAAGTTATATTGAAATCGAACCAAAACTGTAGGAGGAGTAGCATTTTGAAAGCATTTCACATAAATTTCTATTTTTAGTAACCATGGCAACACCATTCATCAAAATCAAAAACCGATGCACAAAATTATGTATCTTAGTGTAGTCTACTTGTGTGCCAAGTTATTTACATGTATATTGATATCAGACCAAAACTTGTGTGCATTTCACAGTTTCTATTTTTACCATGGCAACACCATATATCAAAAACCGATGCACAGAATTATGTACCTTAGTGTAGTCTACTTAAAGTTATATGTAAAACTGTAGAGGAGTAGCATTTTGAAAGCATTTCACAGAAATTTCTATTTTTAGTAACCATTTTGAAAGCATTTCACAGAAATTTCTATTTTTAGTAACCATGGCAACACCATTCATCGAAATCAAAAACCAATCACAAATTATGTAACTTAAGGGGGGACGTTTGTTTTTACGTTTGTTTTTGCACTGTTGACTTTTGCAACTGTGATATACTAGTAGGCATAACATTGTTGATAATCAATAACTTACACAATTTAAAAAAGAAAATTTATTCATCATTAATAACAGTTTTATTTGATTTATGGAGTTTGTTTATATTAGAATTCCCTTCCTTTGGTTAGTAATTCATAGCAATTTCAGTTGTGAAAAAATACCTAGATAATATGCTGATATACTACATGTAGTAATAGTGCAAAAAAAGATAAAATTCTGCAAAGAAAGCGGCTTAAATCAGGGAAATATGTTTAATTTTAAGTTTACCATTAATTGTATTTTCTGGATAAAACTAAGAAAAAAAATTAAGAAATGTACCTGTACATTTGATTATTGATTTACATGTATATTTTATTGTATAAAGTCATTCCTAGGTTCTAATAGGTGTTTGTTGTTGACAGGGAAATGGGGGGGGGGGGGGGAGAAACAGAATGAATGGAATGAAGGAGAAAATTTATCTGTTTAAATTGTTTCTAAACAAAATAAAATACTCGTTCTCCACAAAATAGTTTTATATTCATATGTTTGTCAGTGCTTACTTACCCTTTTTTAGTGCAGAAAGGTCAATATTTATGACACAAGAGTTCGAAAATAAAAGAAATCATATTTCTCGTTTATTTTATCATAAAGGTATACTTTTTTCTTTGTTAAAATAAAGAGATGAATCATTTCTTTCAAATTATATGAATAACAACATTTTCAGACAAAGATTTTTTAATATATTACCTGTTATGCATGTCTAAATTGTAAAAAATACGACAAGAAAATTGGGGTTATACTTACATTGTGCTCCATTATAATTTTTCATGCCATATGAATTTCAAAGAATTTACCTCCATTTTAAAGATACAAGTCATATGAATTAAATAATTGTTGATTTTGAATGTGATTTGATATTTTTGGTTCTTTTTAGCACATATTTGGGGTAGAACAATAATGTCTGAAAATAATCTATTTTTAGCATTTTACACTGTTTTTGCACGTGCTCCTGTGTAAAAATAAGCATATAAAGGTATTATTTTTAATACCTAAAAATTTAGAGCAAGTGGTCAGGAAAGAAATGGCAAAGTTTTGAAAATTTCATACAAAGACTTTTCGGACATAGGTCCCCCCTTAAGCAGGTTGGGAACACATCCCCTTTAGCGAGATCATCTCGCTAAATCGCGATTATCCCTCTTTAGCGGAAGAAAAAACATTACCGTAAACGGGAATTTTGTTGTTTTCGTTATAAAATAATCAAAAAGCTCGTACGTATTGAAAATCCGGGAGAAAGCTGCATTGAATCGTGAATTTACTACAAAAAACTGACAATATTGGCTAGAAATATAAGGCAATCACTGCTGCGTGTGAGAATAAAATGCTGAAATCCACGTGTAAATCGTGCCTTTTTAGCGAAGGTCTCAAGATTTACAGTCATATATATGTTTGGGAAGCATATAAAATATGTATAGATATCCAAATTATATTCGTTAGGATCTTAGCTTTCCATTTTTATACAAAAGTTAAAAATAAAGTTCTCTAGAAACCCATGATATTTGCTTAGATATTTTGATCTTTGGTTGACGAAAGAAGTACGGAAGCGCAACAGGGTTTTAATGTTTGTGGAAAAGTCATGATTTAAAAAAACAAGTATAAACTGAGATGTGTATAGAATATGGATAAATCATTAATTTAATGGAATATTGAAAACAAATTAATAAAAAAAATAAAGGTTTATATTGAGTCTAACCGATATTGACTTCGTGCAAATGTTGATGCATGGTAAAC